GCGGGGAACTCTGCAAAAAACGCATCTTCGCACGGGCAGCCCGTGCGTTGGCCAATTTTTTCATTTATCCACTAATTTTTGGTTGTGTTTCACATCCCCCTTGCAGCGTCGTTCTTTCTCTGGCTAGCATCTAATAAGAACTCTTCTTTTTTGCGCTATAACTTTCAATTTCGGGCGATTGTAATAGTGAGTTGTTTAAAGTATTTCAGGGCCGGCATATAGAATAGTAAAGTATAATTAATCATCTAGTAGGATTTACTTAGAATTTTTAACCTTGTTTGGGAAAGTTTATTTTTATCAATGATATTTTAGTGCCTACAAGAAATGCAGATGCAACGGCTAGTGCTACGATGAGTCGAAAAGGTCCACCTATCATCCCTGCTCCAGTGATTGCCAGAGGTGAGCAGTTATGTAACATTATTTGAAATAGTACAAGAGAGGGATTGGACTTAAGTGTCATGTGTAAAAAGTAATTTCAATCAAAACTATTAATTTTTCATATTTGCTTGAGTTCCAGTCATTAATGTTTTTAAACTAACTTAGTAGCTGATAGCTGTATCTTGAATAAAATTTTTAATTCTGCAATTTTTTTTTTAATAAACAGTTCAATATTAAACATCATCTATTTACTTGACTGCTTTATGATAAATATTTGAAACAGTTATCTGTTTATAGACTGAATCCTCCGAAATGTTATTTTTTCAGTTTTTTTTGGAAAGGTTGATTTTTGTCCTTGAAATTTCAGAGCCTACAAGAAATACAGATGCGGCAGCTGGTGTTGCGACGAATCGAAAAGGTCCACCTATCATCTCTGCTCCGGTGATTGTCGGTGGTGAGTAGTTATGTAACATTACTTGAAATGCTCGGATCAGCAATAATTCTTAGCCTAATTTTTCACATTTATGGGGCTGGCGGATTTTCCAGTTTTCCTTGACTAAACCTGTATCGTGTGCTAGCCAGCCTATTGGCTATTCTGGCAGTCGTTTTGCCTCCAAAAATACTAGCTGTATAGTTTTCCTGGCAGAAGCAGTTGGCAAAAAATTGGCCGTTTTATGATGGCATTGGTGCGTACTGAGCGTCATCACCATGCCCTAAAAGTTGTCACTGGAGAGGCGATGAAGAGATACCTCACTGACTAGAAGTTAATTAGCTTTACTTTAAACGGCTAATTCATCATTGATTGACATTCGGAATGTCCTCCAGTGATTCTGCCGATGGCAGCTGTGCCATTCTTGTGTTCTCTACACCCGTAATACACCATACATTCGAGCTAACAGATTAATTCAGTATTATGCATTAGCTGATAAAGGGAATATGTGCTTTCTTGTTTTAATATTGCACTGTTTTTTTTTTTTTTCAGAACATCGGCTTTTTGGTGGAAAAATGACTGATGAACGAATTTGTCTCGCGAATGCAGTTACTGGTCAAGTT